GTGGGTGAAGTCACCCTTTCCGTGGAGGTGGGAGCACTCTGGAGCCTGGAATGCTAGGTGCAGTTTGGCAGATGGGAGGGCATGTCCCAGAGGAGATGAACACTATTCTTGAGACACACCCACAGTGCCCCTGGGGATGGGTGTGTCTAGGCAAGGCTTCCTAGAAGCAGAATGTATGACAGATTCTTGTGAAACTGATTTCTGAGGACGTGTGTTTCAGGTGGAACTTAGGGAGGGAGGGAGACAGATAAGGAGCCAGGAAGCCAGCAAGGTGGTGTCTCAGGGACAGTCTAGCCTTGGCCTGTTGTACAGGTGTAACCACAGAGCCACAGGCGCCTGTAGCTGTGCTCAGGAGAGGAGCTGTCAGCTGAGGGTGGTTCTCCAGGGAAGGGAACAGCCGTGCGCTTCTAGCAACCAACTCCTGGCAGCCTGGTTTGCTAGCTGGCAGAGGGGCTTAATACCTGCATTGGTTTGCTGGCGTTGCCCTAACAAAGGACGACAGACTCGGGGACTAAACCTGAGTTCAGCAGACTAGAAGTCCAAGATCAAAGTGTGTGCAGGGTTCGCTTTTCCTGAGGCCTCTCTCCTTGGCTTGTAGACGGCCGTCTTCTCCCTGTGTCTTCACGTGGCCTTTACTCCATGTGTCTGTGTCCTACTCTCTTCTTGTAGAGACACCAGTCATATTGGATTAGGCCCCAAGTGAATGAGCTCATTTTAACTTAATTATGTCTTAAAGACCTTGTCTGCAAATACAACTACATTCTGTGGTCCTGGGGGTTAGGACTTCAGCACATGGAGTTTAAGGGGACACAGTCCAGCCCATGACACAATCTAACAGCAGAAACACCAGGTGGGAGCTGTTGTATGTCTAGATGGTCGTGATGTGGTTCTGGGAAAGGCTGGTGACGGGTGATTCCAGTGAGAGACGAAGGTGAGAGGCTCTTAGGAAGAAGACACACAAAGCAGCACAGTGTAGGGGTCAGGAGAGGGGCTCCGGAGCTGAACCCCTCGAGTTCAAATCCCAGCTCTGCCCCTTGTTAGCTGTGGGACCTGAGACAAGGTCCTTCATCTTTCTAAACCTCCCTCCTCGCTCATTATTAGTGTTGATGTTAGAAAAGGCTTTGNACCTGAGACAAGGTCCTTCATCTTTCTAAACCTCCCTCCTCGCTCATTATAAGTGTTGATGTTAGAAAAGGTTTTNCTCCTCGCTCATTATTAGTGTTGATGTTAGAAAAGGCTTTGGGGTGAGGGGTGAGGAAAACTGGCAGGGCAGGCGTGAAATGTGACTGTGAACCTGGGTGGCGATATCAGTGACAGAAATTAGACTGTGGAAAGAGCCATTGGGAAAGCAGAGATGATGGGTCTTCTGAGCACCACAGAGCCTGAAGTGATAGAGGGAAGTTCAAGTGGATGTGTTCAGCAGCTAAGCGAAAATTGTGTCTAAGTTTAGGCTGGGGTTCGTCCCTCGACCTCGGGAGATCCACTTAAGACAGGTGCACTGCCCTCTTCTCTGGCTTTGTGTGCCTTCATGCCAAGTTCCACTAACTGTGGGGTGTGGGGGGAGAGGTGAGGGCGAGGGGTGAGACACCCTATTTTGCTTTTGATCCAGGGAGAGAACCGCTGTCGAAATCAGGCAGTTTTACAGATTAGGTGCCACGTGTTCGACAGAATCTAAACCCTGAGAGATGAGGGCTCCAGAGACATTTTCACCCCTCCCCTTGGGCCAAAAGCAAAATATGTATGTAACACTAAACAGCATAAGGTTGGGCGCCTACCATGTGACAAGCAGAGTGCTAAGCCCCTTACATGGATTCTCTCACTTAATTCTCATAGCTACCCTGTGTTGGTTCTGTTCTTGTCCCCACTTACTTCTAGTTTTAGATAATAGAAAAGTTCAATGATTTACCCAGACAGATGCAGCTAGTCCCCCCTTACCCAAGGTTTCAGTTACCTGTGTTCAATCGTGGTCTGAAAAGATTAAGCGGAAAACTGCAGGAATAAGCAATTGTATTGTTATAATTGTTCTAGTTTATTATTACATATTATTAATCTATTACGGTGCCTGATTTAGAAACTAAACTTCATCATAGGTATGTACGTATAGGAAAAAAACCTAGTATATATAGGTTTATCCTAGGTTTCAGACACCCGCAGGGGGTCTTGGAACGGTATCCCTGTGGGTAAGGGGGGCTGCTGCATAGCCAGGTTGGCACCCAGCTCGTCGGCGGTCGGAGCCCACACTCCTGGTGCTGATGGCGATCGCTGGAGATTTGCGTTCACGGACTGGTTTAATCCTCACTGCCACCCGCGCCGTACGCCCTGCGCATTGTCGTGTGGCTGTGCTTCAGAGGAGGAGACCGAGGCACGGGTGTNCACTGTCGTGTGGCTGTGCTTCAGAGGTGCAGTGACTCGCTCAGCGCTAGAGTCTTAAGCCAGCCCCGGCCCCGGAGCCTGTTTCTCACGCAGCGTGTAGCCTCCCGCAGCCGCAGGTAACCCCGAACGTCCGCAAGAGGAACACGCGGGACGCGGCCGACAGTGGAACCGCGCCCCCATCTGGCCGCCCGTTGGCCAGGGGGTGGCGCTGGCTCTGGGGAGGGGCACGAGCCCCAGGAACAGTCCCCGAGGGTCCCTCCACCCTGTCGCCCTTGCTCCCGTTTCAGACCTCGCCTCCGCCCACCACGTCCCAGTCCCCTGGCAGCACCATGGACACCTCGCAGAAGGAGAAGCCGGCCATCCTGGAGCTTTACATCCCCCCGCCGCCCGCCGTGCCCTACTCCCCCCGGTAGGTCCCCGGGCGCTTGGCCTGCGCGCCGCCTGGTCCCGGAGCTTCTAAGTGGTGGCGGGAGGACCCCGGGGATCCGCAGAGCAGAAGCTGCGGGATTCCAGTGTGACAGGGTTGGGTCTTAAAATTGCTGTTAAAGAGGGTGATTCGGGGTGCAGATTTCCAGCTGTAAGACAAGGCCTGCCCCGCTGGGTGGCTCAGTTGGTTGGAGAGTCGTCCCCTGCACCCAAACAGGGTGGGTCCGATTCCCGGTCAGGGCACATGCCTAGGTGGCGGGTTGGATCCCTGGTCCGGGCACATACACAGGAGGCAACTGATCTCTTGTGTATGCAAGTTGCTGAGAGAGGAGATCTTCAGAATTCTCATCACAAGAAAAAATGAACTTGTAACTATGTGAGGTAATGGATGTCATTTGAACTTACTGTGCATTTCTTATTTGAACTTATTTGAGCATTTCTTTCTATCATCTACCTACCTGTCCGAAATCATTAGGTTCTACACCTTAAACTAATACAATGTTATGTCAGTTATATTTCAGTAAAACTGAGGAGAGAGAACTGGGATCCTTCAGGGGGAAATGGAGGCACAGATCCAGGTTGCACAGGCCTTGCGCCTCTATAGCTGGGTGGGGAAGGGGCTCTTCATGAAAGCACGAGTTCTTGGGAATGCTCTGGCTCCAGCCTGAACATTGGAAGGGGCTGTTTGGAGGTCCCCAAAGCTGAAGTTTCATGAACTGCATGGTAAATTCATCTCTGGGGAGGAAGATAATAAATATTTCTGGGACATTAACTTAAGTTACAGCTTTATTTTGCTAGGAGAGAGATGTTCTTCGTAGCACGTAAAGAGTGTGGGTGTGGGTGTGGGTGTGGGTGAACTGTATTTGCAGCGCTTGTGTGTGCATGTGTGTGTCTATTATAAATTCTCAAACATTGCTTTATGATGGTTATCTTAAATGTATATGGTATAATGAGAATGGCCATACTTGATGTTATATAGGGGATGATTTAGGTACGAAATATAGGCTTATTTGTATCAACTTACATATTTACATATGTTGGTGAAACTAGAGGATCTGGCTCATTCATTCAATATACATTTAATTAGTGTCAGGCCTGGGTTACCACGTTACACAAAACAGATGTGCTTTTTGCCCCCAGACAATGGCCAATGTCTTAGTCAGCTGTTCAAGAATAAGTTGAGAAATACTCATTATGGTATAATATTTCATCAGACAAAGTTCAGGCTGAACTTAGAGTGATGCTTAACTTTATATTGGAGTTTTTCATTCACTTGTTCTGTTGTAAGCCAAACTATTTGCTTCTATTGTAGTTCTTCTGGCACAGAGAAGAATTAATGCCATTTTCCTCTTGAGTCTTGGTTTGCCCAGAACTTACTACAGCACGTAGAGCATTCACCTTAGGTGATCAGGGCGTCTGGCTGGTAGACAGGGCTCTTCCTTAGAGTCGCAGACCAGAGTCGGGTGACCATCCTTCATTAATGGGGGGTATGTGTGTGGGGGTGCATGTGTGATATTTTCTGAGGACTGAGCAATGCAAATGGTTACAGAGAACGAATGGTGAGGCAGGAAAGCTTAGTGAAGGGGAAGGTTATGTGCCAGGTTGAAAAGTGTAGAAAGAGACAGGCTCATGGGGGAAGGGGCGCACAGGCTGGTGGCTCGCTGGGAACGCCACACAGGCAGGGCTGACCTTCGGATTGTTTTGGACTCAGTCTATTCTGTATTTTGTCTGGTAGTTTTTACAGGGATCACCTAATGGAATTTACTAAATGCAGAAAACAAACAAACGAACAAAAAAAAATGTAACCAACTGGTAACTTGGACTTATTCAAATTAATTTTAAATTTTAGCATAAGCTGACATTTAGAAAGAATTAAGTTGCAATCGAAGATCCAACTTTTGCCTGTTTCTGTACTTAGTTCAGAAAATAAACGCTCTCCACTGGGGACTATAAAGGGCCCTTTGTATTTTTGGACACAATTTTCAAATCTAACAGCTCCATTGCACATCAAGTGTCTTTTTTTCCTGGATCTTGGAAAAGACACTACTCTGGGCATGAGAAAAATGGCCCAACAGATCCCACCTGAACTTGAGATTCCTGTAGTAAGTAGGCGATTCAGCAATGGGACAGATGTACAGGGAAACCAGAGCTGTCTTTTCAAAGGTATATGTGCACCATTTGAATACATATGAAAAAAAAAATTATTTTCCCTATTTAACTCGTAGGACCATGGTATTTACCCTTATTTAATAGGATCTCTATGTATCTGAGGTGCAACTGGGGTGAAAAGTGGTGCTTTCCCCCAGTGGAAAGGTGCTTGACGTTTCTGTATGCGCCTCCTGAGTNGAAAAGTGGTGCTTTCCCCCAGTGGAAAGGTGCTTGACGTTTCTGTGTGCGCCTCCTGAGTTCTGCGGGGCAGGGCCTTCGTTACCGCCGCTGTCTGCGGGGCAGGGCCTTCGTTACCGCCGCTGTCTGCGGGGCAGGGCCTTCCTTACCGCCGCTGTCTGCGGGGCAGAGCCTTCATTACCGCCGCTGTCTTCCAGGGACGAGAAGGGGAGTTTTGTTTACGGAGGACTCAGCAAGTGTAAGCGGCCAGCGCCTGGTCCCAAGGGCTCCGAGTCCCCGAATTCCTTCCTGGACCAGGAGAGCAGAAGGCGGAGGTTCACCATTACCGACCCCGACCAGTTGCCGGGGCACCCCGTGGAAACCAGCATCCTGCCCGCGAAGATGCGGCAGAAAACGCCGTCGTATGGTGCGTCCCCCGGTGTTGGTTTCCTCCCGCCCTGTGCTGCCCTTTTCTTCCCCACCCCCGTCCTTATTTGGAACCGTTGGATGGATTTGGCAGGCTCTGAGGGTGATCCGAGGAAAACATAAACCTCAATGAAATTCTAAGTATGAGACCTTTATTCATCCCTCTAAAGCGAGGCCTTGTTGAGTCATTGCTGCGCCTGGCATGAGAGCCCGGCGGGTGAGATCATGTTCCAGTTTTAACTTTCCGGGCCTGGGTTTTAGCTTCGAGTTGCTTTTCTCTGTATACCCAGGGACTCAAGTTCAGCTCGCCCCTGTCTTGATGGCTTGCTACGGAAATGCGATGCTTTAAAATCCTTTCCTTATTTTAAACTATGTTGCTGCTTCTGCTTAAGTGAGTGTGACATGGTGGGAGTGGGGTAGGGTCTAAGTTTCAAATAAAGGGAAGGATTCTCTGAGCCAAAAAGTCATCCACTGTCATCTTTCTTCTCCCCCCACTCCCCCTGAAGGCAAGCCCCGGCCTTTGTCCATGCCTGCGGATGGGAGCTGGATGGGGATCGTGGACCCTTTTGCCAGACCTCGAAGTCATGGGAAGAAAGGTAACTTTAAGCAAATCACATCAAATAAGGAACTGAAGGACCCAGGCCCAGGTTTCAGCCCTGTTCCTAAATGTATTAGGATAACTGGATGGAGGACTTGGCCTTTCTGAGCCAAATCATCCCATCTATAAAGTCAGGAATGCTGAGCATCTCAAATCCTACTTAATTCTAGAATGGCAGAATTATGCAGTCCTGTTAGTGATTGTAAATCTACTGTTAGCAGAGTGTGCTTTGAAAAGGCTGTAGACATTAATGGCTCAGTTTCTAAACAAGTCGAAATAAGTTACTCATTAGGTAATCTCATCCTAAATTTTTGACTGTCTTTATTGGAGCCTGTTTGATTTTTTGTGAACAAACATGGATTTTCCCCTCCCAAATCCTCCTTCTGTTAGAGAGGAATTACTAAATTTGTGTTAGAAAATAAATTTGTTTTCCATTCACCCTGGAATTAGTTACTGGTTATTGCACTAGTCTTGAGGGAAATGTTTATACATATTCTTATTTTCTGCCAGTTTATATTTGATATATCAGCACTGGTAGGACATTATAACGTTGCTTTTGCAGTGCTAAAGAGCAACGCAGGCGACAGGTTCAAGTCCAGCAGGCTTTATAGTAAAGGGAAGAAGAAAAACATTCTGGAGGCCCCACTTTCAAAGTAATCAACCCCGGGCATCTCCCTGGGTCTTGGTAAAGTTTCTCACCCAAGTACCCATATCACCCGGATTATGCTAATGTGGAAAAGGGAGAAGACACCTGTCTAAAGTCCAAGGCGCTTCTAGCTGACGTGTGAAAATCTGTGAAGCAGTCAGCAGGTGGCAGGCTGTCCTTTGTTTAGATTTAGAAATTCACCATCTTTGTTGCCGTTTTCTGTAGCTTTTTCAGCTCTGATTCAGCCTTTTATTTCCTTTACATACTGAGAGATGGGGTGAGGGCTGTGGCAGGGAGTGTGAAATCAGTAAACGGAAACATACTTGACTACTCCCCTCCCCTCTCCCACATTTTTCTTGCATGATCGTGTTCGAATGAAAGGTGTCTGCACAATGGGCACTTAAAACAACAACACAACTTTATTGAGACGTAACTCACCTTTACATAGAGCTCACCATGTGAAAGTGTACAATTGAGTGCTTCTTAGTATAGTCACAGAATTGTGTGTCCATCACCACTGTCTAATTCTAGAATATTTTATCATCTCAAAAGAACCCCGAGGCCTGTAAACAGTCACCCCTCATTCCTTCCTCCCTCAGCCAACTGTTAATCTACTTTCTGTCTCTATGGATTTGCTTGTTCTGGACAGTTCATATTAATTGACTCATATAATATGTGGCTTTTTGACAATGAGGACTTTTTAAAAGTAACTTTTCCCCTTTGACTACAAAAGCAAAACAAGTACTCAAAGAACATCTAGAAGGTACGAGAAAATAAAACTCAGCTGTAGTCTCCTCCCCAGCCTCACATTTTGTGTATCTTCCAGTTGTTTTCATATCTGTAATTATACACTTAGAAAAATGTGCAGAATGGAAGAAATAGGTGTTCACTAATACTATGTACACTGAATATTATCTAGAACATTTTTTAATAGATGCATTAGTAATCCATCTTATGGCTGTAACACCTACTATTCAAGTTATAGTTGGACATTTAGGTTATTTCTGTTTTTATCCCCTCCGCCCCCAGTCATAAATAATGCTTCACTAAGCACCTTGTACATACATCTTTGCATATTTTAGGAGTGGAATTTTATGGTCAAAAGAATGCCAAAGTGCCCTGCATTGTAGGTTTCTATTCAGTTTCATAAATATCCGTCACCAATCCCAGGGCTCTAGTGGCATCTAGGGTGGGGATCAGTCTTCCTTGCTCAGAAATGTCCCGATCATTGTAGAGCATTAAAAGTTTTGGACCCCTTCCATTAAAGATGAATAGTGCCTGCCCTTCATTCAGGGTGACAACCAAAGGCACCCCCACCTTTCTGAATGCCCCTTAGGGTGCTCCAGGGTAAGAACCATGTTCTAGAAGCAGGTGCTGCCTGCTGCAGGCATTGTGGAAGGAGTGATGGGATTATACAGCTTTCTCTTTGGTTTTTGGCCTCAAGTGAAATTATGAAAATTGTTTCACTGGCAGGTTCTCTGTCTCTGCTCTGCCCACTCTCAGAGGGCCTCAGAAGTGTAAGCAGGCTTTGGGCCCACTTCACAGGGTGGCGTGGTGGGCGGTTATTTTAATGGATTTGTCTTTGTCTGAAAACAGGCGAGGACGTCCTTTGCCGGTATTTCAGTAATGAACGGATCCCCCCGATCATCGAAGAAAGCGCCTCTCCCCCGTACCGGTTCTCCAGGCCCACCACGGAGAGGCAGCTGGTCCGAGGCGCAGACTACATCCGAGGCAGCAGGTGCTACCTCAGTGGAGATCTCCATAGCAGTGCCACCATCCCGTTCCAGGAGGAAGGGACCAAAAAGAAAGTGTCCTCCGGGGCCAAGTCCTCGTCTGCAGAGCCCTCCCTGCTGGTCAGCTGGTTCACGCGCCTGAAACTGTTGACTCACTGAGCCCTGCCCTCCCCGACTCCCCGCTGCTCCCAAGTGCCTTCCTTCCTCAGCGGACGACCCGTTCTGACTTTCTTGCACAGTATTATGTAGACACCTTTTGCAAGTTCATTATTTTATTTTTGGGAAAGTTGTCTGCCGCCCCTCTTGGAATGTTGAAGTAAGTGGGTGGAGGAAATCCAGAGGGTTCAGGCGCTGGCTTGCGGAGGCAGAAGGAAGAGATGGGTAGAGCCTGCTTCTCTTGCTTCCAGGGAGACACTGCAGGCCGCAGCCTCCGCCGGGAACGTTAGGGGCAGGCGGAGGACCTGGGTGTTGCTCATTTTGGGGGCGGGATGAAATCGGTGGCCATTGTCGCACAGATGGGTTGGTTTGTGGTCCAACTTCTTCACCTGAAACAGCCAGAGGAGAAAACATTGTGGGCTTGCCTTTTCCAGCTGCGTATCACATCTGTAAGTGTAGCGGCTTTGACTTGGAAAGAACGCGTTTGGGGAGTGTGCCCAGCGCAGGGGTCCCAGTGCAGCCGGTTCTCTTGGGTGGTCCCTTTTCCCAGCAGCCTCGGCTTAGGTGGGTTGATGCAGAAGCACGTCGGGTAGGGCTTAGCACCCGCCAAGCGGCTTTCGGCTCGGAGGGCGCCCTTGCTTATGTGTCACTGTCCTGGGGAAAAGGCGCTGAGGGTTGGCTGACAGCCGAAGTATCACTCAGAGAAAGGAGGCAGCGGGACTTAGGTTTGTGAAAGAGACGGCAGTTGGCATTTTGACCTGTTCGGTTCTGTCTGCCAGATAGACGGACGGTTCTTCAATATTACACGTTTTGCTAATTAGAAATATCTCGGGAAGTCTCACGGTCACAGATTTTCAAGTAGCATCAGGCATTTTGGAAAAGTGCGTCTGGGTATTAACTCCTGTTTAAACTGAATGTATGATATTTTGTTAGAATGGAAAAGTGCTATCTTGTTAATTTAAGTGTTTTAAATATAGTTGTATATTTTTCTTATTCTTAGTCCCGTGTGGTTGAAGTCTTTCTGTTTTGCGCCGCACACAAAGCGAACAGAGAAGAGTTCACGGAGCTTTCAGGTTTGCAAGCGCCCACCAGGCCGTGGCCACCGTGGCTGCTACTGTCCAAAAAGAAAAGAAACCCTCCCAAGCACTTGGGGCTTTATGGATTAGCAATGGGGGCGTTGAGAAGCGTGTGTAAAGGAACATTCCAGTTCCATTTGGGGAGCTTTCTGGGGCACATTTGTAGGCTGAGCTGGTATCCCCTCCTCAGAAACCCCCCCAAATGGTTCCTCCGCGGAACGTCGTGGAAGGCAGTGGACAGGTGTCACAGGTGTCCTGGCCTTAGCAAACACCTTCCCTTCCGGAGGGCTGTGCTGGGGCGAGGGGCGAGCACCCCGCACCTGTCACCTGTCGGTGTGATTGAATTCAGGCCGCCCTGGCCTGTCACTCTGAGGCAGCTGCAGCCAGAAGACGGGGGTTCCTGGGGGGATGGAAAGGACCTGGCAAACCAAGGGTGGAAGAGGCTGGGCGTGTGACCCGCTGGCATTTGAACAGCACAGTGTGAGGGCCAGGCGTGGGGGCGGGGAGCTCTGGATTGGGCCCTGGTGACTAGGAGGGGGCTGTGGGAAAGGGGGAGCCCCAGCCTTGTCCATTTTACTGTTAGTGTGAGCTGGCCTCATGCCCAGAAGTGGGGAGGCAACGCTTCCTCCCGCTGCCTGGATTTAGGGGCGGACTCAGCGCTGCAGTTGGGCTCAGGAGTGAGTAAAATGGCTCTGGAGGCCTGAGCTGCAGATGAGCCCCTTTGCTGTGGAGAAAGTGCCACTGGTGACCGTTCTCGAGAATTTGCAGAAGTCGGTCTCAACTAGAGGCGGTGCCCAACTTAGACTCCTGTAGCCAGTGCTTTTCAGACTGGCCCCTGGAGTCCCAAGGGAAGGCCAGAGGGGTTTCTGGGTTCTCTACCTTCGGCCAGTCTCTGCAGGTGCATTTTTTAAAAATTTGGGGTTTTCTCCTGAATTGTGTTTAAGAGAGTTTTAAAAAAGTTTGTATATATCTTTATACTGTGGAGCTATAGAAACAGTTTAATTTTGACTTCTCAGGAACTAAGGGAAACTGCTTACCTCAGTGATAAACCCGGGTTTCATGGTGGACAGGTGTTAACATATGAAGATGCAGAATGATCCTTTGTGACGTGTACTTTATTTTTTTGGAGGGGGGAGGCGTATTTTAAAGTTTTGATTAAAGTGAGTCATATAACATAAAGTGAACCATTTTAAAGTGAACAACCCCGTGGCATTTAGTGCACTCACTGTGTTGTGCAGACATCACCTCTGTCTAGTTCAAGGCCTCATCGCCCCGAAGGAAACCCCCTGCCGTTAGGTGGGTGCTTGCCGCCTCCTCCTACAGTTGTCCCTGGTGACCACAAATGTGCTTTCTGCCTCCATGGATTACAGGTAAATATATTTATCATTCTATTTTCCTGGTGTACTAGCCTGTTGTTATACATTTTTTATTTATTTTAAAAAATATATCTTTATTGATTTCAGAGAGAGGAAGGGAGAGGGAGAGAGAGAGAAACATCAGTGATGAGAGAGTCCTTGATCGGCTGCCTCCTGCACGCCCCCGACTGGGGATCGAGCCCACAACCCAAGCATGTGCCCTGACCGGGAATCGAACCCCGATCGTCTGGGTCCTAGGTCGACGCTCAACCGCTGAGCCATGCCCGGCCCGGCGTTAAACGTTTTTTAAACTCTTCTTTTAGTGGTTACCACAGAGATTACAATTCATACTAATAACTGACTTAGATTTTACTTTAGTACTTTGATTGCTTCCAGGCCAAGGGAAATGTTTTAGATGCACTTGATACTTTAACATAGAGATTTTTAAAAATACTGCCAGAACAAATTCAGTGCACACCTCGTCTTATAAATATTTTTATAACATCACTGATCATTAAGAAACCAAGGGTGATAAAAGCTGCCTTTGCACATAAACGCTTCACCCCATTTACTATTCCAAAATGAAATTAACAGGCAATTTAACTGGTCTTTATACACACACAGCAATTTAATGTCCTAACTTAAATACAGGGTGTCCCCAAAAAACCATATACATGCTTTGAATAATTATAAAGGCAGTGTTTATAAAAACACATTTCATTTTCAAAATGTAATAGAATCAGCTGTTAAAGTGTGTATATATTTTTTGGGACACTGTATATAAGCATATGTAAATACTTGATAATGAAATAATTATTTTAATATGTAAATGCATGATTATATTTGCTTCTCCTGTTTCTAACCTTCTCAGCCTATTCTATTTTTTTATTTATTAATTTTATCATAAAATTCACCTTATTTTCTGGAAGTTTCTTAACTGCTAGGTTTTGTCTTAGGGCCTTTATTTTTGGTTAGCATTATTGCTGGAGTGTGCTGGTTTGTCAACATTTTGACAAAAGCGAGGTTCAACATAAGGAAAGAGATTACATCGAATTCAGATTTGCCGTAGTGCCATGTGTTTCTCTAGTTTTAGGGATGTGAGGTCTGAACCAAACTCTGCGTGTGTGTGTGTATGTCTGTGTGTGTGTAGAAGAGAATTTCTTCTTACTATAAAATTCCTTCTGCAATATGGCCTACGTCATACTGATTCAGAAAGAGGAGAGAGAAGATTTTGTCAATAATCAAAATAATGTCACTTGTCCCGGAGGCTGTCATACAGTCTTTCAGAAGCTTTGGGGCACCTACTCTGCTCCCCTTACATAGACACGCATGTGGTGTTGGGTTGTTAGGAACTGGATCCTGGTAGTAACCCGATCATCCCTCGGCATATTCTCACATTGCATGGCAGTGTTTAAGAAGCTCACCTTCTGAGCTGATTAACTGTTTATGCATGCTGCCAATTTGCAACAGACCTCAGGGATTACAGTGTGTGAGGCGACAACTGCAGAAGGTAGGTCTTAATCCTACATTCTCTGGGTGCCCACCAACCACTCTGGCGTCTCTGCTCCCAGGAAGAGAGTTTGCAGCCCGAGGGCTCCTGTGAGGCCCACAGCCAAGTATCACACACACTCTCCTTTACTGAGCTGCTCATTTCTCTGAAAAGCTGTGAAACTGAAGCTGTAGGGGATGATGAAGATATAAACCTCAGAGGTATTTTAAGAAGAAGGGATATAGCCTTCCTGAAATCCTGGTAGCCAAGGATATGAATAATCTCACCATTTTATCTCCTTCATCCTGGAGCAAATGTTTCTGCAGGGGTTAAAAGAGAGAAACCATAGGGGGAAACATAATTTCCCCTTGTTTTTCCACTGGCTTGACCCATTAACAGGGACTTATAATGTAACTTTACTTTCAGGGTGACAAAGACTGGATTTTATGATATTCCTTCACCATTTTGACAGATCGCGGTCTAAACATTTTGATGAATCTTAAACATGAAAGAGCTTTAAAAATGAAGTTTAATGTAAGGTTATAATATTGTCTTTGAAGTAAGAAGTCCTTTCACTTCTGTAGGGTTGGGTTCTGTTTTCTTATAAATACACCTCTCTGTCATTGTAGCTGAGGCCAGGCCAGGATAAGAGTGGATGGATTTCAGGAATTAGTACTAATTTAGAAGTCTTTGATTTTTGGAAGTTGGTCTTCAAGTAGTTAGATGCAGTTGGTGGCTCAGCTTTTGAAGTCAGATAATCCAGCTGTCCCATTTTACCCCTTACAAACTCTGAGACTTGCAGCTGGTTACTTATCTCTGCCCCCAGTTATCTATGAAATGGGCATAATAATAGCATCTACTTCACAGGCTTATAGGATTGAAGGAGCTAATGTTTGTGCGGCCTTTTGTGTAGTTGAGCACCCAGCACTTAAAGATCTTGACTCTTGTTGGAATACTCTAGATGCAGTGTTTATGCCTCTCTACTGCTAATAAATAAGCCATTCAGATCTGGTCAACAGGGAATTGCTCTTTCTTTGTCCCTAATCAGCAAAACAGTGCCAGTGCCATGCTGTCAGGAGGCTGCTATGTAGTCTGTGGCCTGAAGTGTGGATTTTGGTGGTATAAATCTGAGTTAGTACTCAGAAGGTTTGGCTGAGTCAGAACTCAAGAAATGAAAAAAGTCTATGATTGGACTCAATCAGAATATAATAGAATATTATTTTAACATTGGCTTGATTTATCATTAGTCTATTTTATCTCTTTAATCTCCCCAACTTTCTTCAACAAAATTATGTCTCAAAACGAAGGGAATCTGTCCATTTTCCCCGTCTTCTAAGTGGCTGAATGACTTTGGCCTCCCATCCCCAACTTGAAGTGGTACCCCCAAACTTACCTCTGTGTTTCATATGGCTAGAAAAAAGGAATCATGTAGAATGGTACGTATTTTTGAAATTCTCATGAAAAAGAACTCTCACATAAAAATAAAATGAATGGATTGTGTTGCCTTCATGGAAGCTGAACAAGACTGTCCTTGGAGATGCCTCCCCCAATGAAAGTTTTGGTGGGTTCAGAGAGAAACAGGTAGAGAAGCTATGGGAGGGACAAAGGGAACTGGAAAATGGTTGTTTGGCTCAGCTTTCATCTGGTTTATTGAGTTGTGCCTGACTTTCAACCATCTGGGCACGTGTAGTGTATCAGCCAGGCCGTGAGCACACAGACCCACAGATGCCTACCTAACACAGATGCAGTAGTCATGAGTGTTGTTTCTGGAACGACTTTGTTTTTTTTAATGTGTTTTTTATTGATTTCAGAGAGAGGAAGGGAGAGGGAGAGAGAGAGAAACATCAATGATGAGAGTCATTGATTGGCTGCCTCCTGCACACCCCCTACTGGCGACCGAGCTCACAACCCAGGCATGGGCCCTGACAGGGAATTGAACCTCAGTCTCCTGGATCCTAGATCGATGCTCAACCGCTGAGCCACGCCGGCCGGGCAGAGTCGGGTCCTGATTGCCCATGAGTTGCTGTTTGCCTGTGCCACGGGAATCGGGTAGAGCTGAGGCTGCACTTTTTAAGGTGAATTTCCCAGCCTCTTCCCTGCTGGGCTCGTGTTCGTCTCCCTCCTGAGCGGACCCGCAGGAATGCGTGCATATTCAGCTGAGATACAAGCGTACCCAATCCACAGTCCCTGCCGTTCAAGCTAGCAGGTCGCAGATGCAAGGGGATCAGATTTTTCTTTTCCTTCTTTCTGACAGAACTCAAATCTGTTTTGTCTGGCGTCACAGTTGCATTTTGTGCTAATTGTCTCCCTACCCGGATCTCACCTTCACTCCCTGAACACCGAATGATACCCCCACATTTGGTTTTTCTTATCTGTTTATTTCCTAGAACATAATCTGTTTAATTCCTAGGAAAAAGGGAAGACAATCATGGTGGATTGACTGAACTGACATTTTCTATTACTTGTGTTCACAGCAATGCCAATGATAGACAAGGGTAGCCGTGGGCATTCAAATCAGGTAAGCAATTAAAACAACAACAGCAATACACACAAATAGCAAAGCTAACAACAAAATCTAGAACCCAGTTTTTGGAGAAGAAAATAATTAAACCAAGGCCTCCCAATTTGGTTCTTCTTTTACTCTTAGGGCATTTAAATAAGTGAAGAACATTCACTCTAATCTCGTTTGGGGGACTGTTACTTGGAGGTGCCACCCATTCAGGTTTCTCCTCAGTGAAGTCAGTCAGCTGAAGCCCACGCAGAGTGCATTCTACTGATGATAATAATTGAATTATAATCTTTAGATGATATAAAATACAAATGCCGGGGTGCAAGATTTGGTTTGTATGCTAGTTTTAACTGACACACAACTAGATAATTTTAGCTAATGCTCTTCCTTACACCCCTTCCTTGGCACTTAGTTCTGTATTTTTAAGTCCTGAGGACGGGCTCATCCTTCTTTGTCCCATCTCCGAGGTGACTCCCAAGGTCATCCCTATGAGGCTCTCCTTGATTCTGCTCTAGACAGAATCCATTGGTCTCCTGTTTTTCTATGGCATCCACTCATCCTGCTAGTTAGATGTTTGCCTCTCCAGCTTGGATTAGGAGCCTTTCTAAAGTCTTTCTTTGTAGCTCACATGGTAGGTAGAGCAAATATTATTAAAGTAACTAGATGGTAAAATTAATGACCGAGCAGGCAGAAAAAATTAGAAAAAAGTATTAAAGTTTTCTGTGAAAAAAGATTTTATATTTGGGTGTTTTTTCCCCCAGACTACTACATATAGAATTTCATTACATTGGCTCTCATTCTAAAGAAAACATTGTCCCAGGTGTCAGAACTCAACCCTATTTATAGGAAGAATAAACCTTGGCCCTCAACAACAGCTTCTCTGGTTACAGGATTACAGTAACTGCTGAGAATGTAAGCACTTTCAGGAGTCTACAGAGGATTCATTTAGGACTTACAAGGGCAGTTTCAAATTAGACATAGAAAAAGTAGTAGTGGAGAGGAGGGGCACTAGAAAGCGCCTGTGAATTTAGACAAGACCGAGGGCCCTTCCAGTTGTGTGATGTTTGGTTGAAGGAGAGGAATTTGGACCTGAGAAAACCAAGGGTATAAATACTGAGGCTGTTGACTGGATAGTGAAATATTGCTGAGAACCTTCATCCCAAGGGGGTGAGTGATGGAACCACTGAGAATATTGTTGCTGTGTTTCAGAGACAACCAGCTGATACCGTCAGAGACTCGAGAGCCTGGTTTTAAAACAATGTCCTTTGCTCACGGCTACACTGAGCTCCCCTGAGTCTACTTTGTGGACGTATAAACACAAGCAGAAATTCTGCTCCCCCAGGCACCCTGCACTCCAAAGAGATGACAAGTCGCAGGAGGTATTCAACTCTGATGCAGTTCAACAAAGGAAAAAAGAGATAAAAGGAAGAGATATCAGATGATTAAATAAAGAAGCTCCTTTGCAAATTGCAATTAATGATAATGACGCTTACTGGACCCCTTTATGGTTGTCTTTTCCCAATGAGTAACATCTGGGTACTTTTATCAAAAGCACTCTTGTAGAATTAACTAAAAATGTGAACGACTCTTCCTGTGTGGGGAATGGGACTGGATCCTGTCCTTGGCAGTGGAAACACGCGGCACAAACAGATGACAATACCCTGCTGTCGTGTCTCCTCGCACGGCGGGCGCCGGTCCTGGTGCCCAGGAGCCCCTGCTGCTCGTGTGCCCTCCTTCCTCTTGTCCCTCTTCACCTTCTCTGACTGTCGGCCTCCTGCTCTGCTCTTCTACCCTTTGTCTCCTGATGCCACCCCTGTTCCCCGGACTTGCGCTCTGCTCAGTCTCCCACCCTTGGACGGGAGAAAATGCGGCACATTTATTTGGCAACTGGAGAACACACAGCAAAGAGTCCAGCCCTTACAGCTGCACAGACGCAGGCTCGCCACGGATTCTTCTTTGGAACAGGGAGGGGAGATGAGAAGACATTTGCCAAGGAGACTATAAACAGTTGGGCAGTTATCTGATGGCTTTTCTAAAGTTCAGGAAGGGACAGCTTTCTCTTTGTTGAGCCCTTTTTACTGCTTGTTTTTCTTTCTTTCTTTTTTTTTTTTTTTTTAATATCTTTATTGGTTTCAGAGAGAGGAAAGGAGAGGGAGAGAGAGAGAAACATCAGTGATGAGAGAGTCACTGATCGAGCCCGCAACCGGGGCCTGTGCCCTGACTGGGAATCGAGCCCCGATCGCCTGGATCCCAGGTCGACGCTCTACCGCTGGGCCACGCCCGGCCGGGCTGTTTTCTATTTCATTGATTTCTGCTCTTTTATTTCCTCCTTCCTTCCCTTTTCTTTGGGTTTATTCTGTGTGTGTTTAGACTTTACGAGGCTCATGCTGTAACAGCCTCAGTATCTCAGTGATACAAGAGTTTAGGTTTCCTTGTGCAAAGTCTGCTGCAGGTGCTCCAGGTTGGGCAATGCTCCATGACAGCGCTCCGCCAACTGGTGACTTGGGGACTCAGGACACTCCTATCTTATGGTTTCTCCAACTTGGGGCTTCCAGCAACCCTGGCATTCCCCACCTTGTCGGATGGGATGTGGGACATGGAAAAGTGGAACTGCATAACCAACTCGGCCTAGACATGACCGTCGTGGCCACCTTAACTGCAAACGAGGCCGGAAAGGGATATTGGTGAGGACCAGCGGTCTCTGCCATGTGCCTTTTTTTTTTTTTTAAACACAAAAAAGCTTTACCTTTTTCATTAAATTTCTTTTTCAATTGCAGCTGACATTCAATATTATTTTACATTAGTTTCAGGTGTACAGCATAGTGGTTAGACACTTATATAATTTATGAAGTGATCCCCCAATAATTCTAGTACCCACCTGACACCATACATTGTTATAACAATATTTTTGACTATATCTACCATGTTTCTTAAGTTGGATACTTAGCTCATTAACATACAACTTTTCTAATAGTAACACTTAAGACTACAAATTGCCCTCAAAACATGTTTACTTTTGCTGCATTTCACAAGGCTTGCCGTGCAGTGTTTTCATTATCACTGAAATCAAGCTAATTTTTAATTTCCATTTTTATTTACTCTATGGTCCCTGCCTCATTTTTAAGTTTGTTTATTTTTATGATACTGGGATAGGGAAGGATTTCTTACACAAGCCAGTGAAAGGGCCGCCTATAAAAGGAAGGACGGATACATTTAACTACATTAAAGGTAAGTTCTGTTCGCCAGAAGACATTGTAAAGAAAATAAGTGGGCGACAGACAGACTAGATAACAGACCAGCACAAAAATGAGCCAAAAGCATTTCACGGAAGGGAATGAAGTGGCCCATATACACAGGGAAGATATTCATTAGTCATCGTGGAAACCTAAATACAGGTCACAGGGACACATTCTTCTGTACCTAGTTGACTGGCAAACATGAAGGAGCTAGAGACTACTAGGAGGGTGTACTTGGAGGGTCAGTGGGACCTCCATGCATTGCTTGTGTAAATTAGCTTTGAATATTCATATATCGTAGGACCCAGCAATTTCACTCCTGGGCATATATTCTGGAGAAGAAAATGCTAACATGCCAAAGACCGATCCATTACAGGATGGTCTCCCAGAAAGGGAGCTGGGCTCCTGCAGAGCTCCATGGAAACTGGCTATGACCCATTATTTAGGGTAATAAAATCTGATTGAATGCAAGACTTAAGTCCTGTTCTTCTGGGGCTAGTCCACCCACTGCAGATGTTAGTGAAGCGAATCCAGCTGCTAGTTGGCAGTGCCACACTCGGCTGCAAACACATCTGCTGGTCACTCCAGGGGAGGGCCTGGTCCTTCCTTCATCCCACAAGGTTTAGGGACGCTCTCCTGGAGTCTGAGTTTGGGCTTTGGTAGGCCTCTGTCGACTGCCTGAGATAACAGGGGACCTGCATTTTCTCTGCTGCTTTTCTTTTGAGTGTCCCCAACAATTAGTCTCTAGGAGGCCTATTTGTGTTGCTTGGCCATTTACATTTGCACCCCACAACCTAATGTCCATCAACAAAATAACGGATCCATTGTGGCTTATTCTTACAACGCAATAATCTGCAGCAAGCGAGAATGGATGAATTATAGTCATTCACAGCGAAGAGATAGATGCCCTGGACTGAAGGGTCCTGGGTTCAGTTGCAGCTAAGGGCACGTTCCTTGGTTGCAGGCTCAATCCCCTGCCCCTGCCCTGGCCCTGGCCCTTGTCCCGGCCCCAGCCTGCGTCTCTCTCTCATTAGTGTTCCTCTCACTCTCTCTGAGAAGCAATGGAAAAAAAAAATCTTCAGGGGAGGATTAAAGAAGCAAAAAACAAAACGAAAACAACGTTGAACAGCAAAATTCCTGAATTCAACATGCAGTGTAACACTCTTTGTAACTTTCTAAACCAGGAAAAACTGAAGAAAATATTATTGCCAAAATCTATAATAAAATGAAGAAAAAGGGAATGATAAGCACCAAATCCGGGATGTTGGCTGCGTCTGGTGGGTTGGCAAGGGCAGGGGAAAGGAAGGGACCCACAGGTGGGTGGGTGGATGGAGGTGACGGATTGTCGCATTGGCCCGATTCTTGGAGTCAGGATTAAAGAACTGGTGCCTTACCTGGGGGGTGAAAGCCCAGGGCAACAGGAGCGAGAGAAAAGAGAAGTGAGGCCGAACAAGATGGGAGCAATGCAACCGTGATGGGCTGGACTGTGCCTCCCCCCGCTCCCAAATTCTCACGTTGCAGTCCCGACCCGTCGCCTCGGAGTGCCATCGTATTTGGAGACAGGTTCTTTAAAGGAGCAATGAGGTCTTCAGGAGGGGCCCTCGTTCAGTATGACTGGTGCCCTTATGAGGGGAAAGGTGGACACAGACGTGTGTGGACACGTGGAAAGGCACAGGGAGGAGACAGCTATTTGTAAGCCGAGAGAAACCTCAGGAAAAACCAACCTTGCTGACACCTTGACCTCAGACTTCCAGTCTCCAGAACCGTGAGGAT